GCTGCATACATGTCTGGTCAGGAAGAAGTTTGTGAGCGGTGCTAATTAAAGTGAATAAACTGTGTTTGTCAGAACAAGTTTGGAAAAAATATCACGGTACTGAGGCTGGCAGACCTTTTTGAACCAGCTGCCTGAACAGGTAAACCTGATGGATGTTTACTTTGCATGACCACTATAGGATTACAAACCTATGTGGGTGGAGCTACAGGACCTCAGCCTCAGGGCCTACCAGGAAGTTAAGTGGGCCCTGCTGACATGCACTAATAGTCTATGATGCACTAAGGGTTTATTTTTTGTTGATGTTTGATAATTCATTAATTGTTTTTGTATCTTACCAAACATTGATTTCAACAGTTCCTACAAGAAGCTGTGTGAGGCTGAGTCATTTGCATGTTTTAAACAATACAATCTACAATACTAAAATAATATGCCTGCTTTTTGTTTTGTTTTGTTTACAGTGTTCAAACTTGTGTAAAGGCAGTTGCTGGTTCAACATGACTAGACATTGATAGCATGTTTTATTAGTGTAAAAGAATAATAAGGTGATCACATGACCTGAATGGAAAATGAAGGTGGTTTTCAGCATCTGTGTCCCAGAGCATGTTTGCTTCATCCTTCCGCTGTTTCAAACAAGTCAAGCTATTTTAAGCCTCAACTTTGCCTTTTTATAGACAAGCAGACAACAGAGAATGAAAGAAATGTTCTCTGTAACCAACGTCACTGACCACAACTGTGCTTGAAGTGGGTTGATGGGCCGGAAGAGACTTTTCATAGAAGTGAGCAACAACAACAAAAAAAGTGTTGACAAGTAGTATGCATGTCTGTGTCCTCCTTCTCAACCCACCTTTAGTACCTGGCCACAGCAGTCATTGTTTCACTCAATGTTGACACACAAACACATACTGAAACCCTCATAAACAAACAGCTTCACTAGGATTTCCTCTTTCTGATTCGCTGTATTGCAACTGTGAAACTGTTACACTCATCAATCATCACTACAAATGTTTCATTGATGCTGAATATACATCAGCTATCCACGCCATTCTTTAGAACCAGCAAGCACAGTCTAACATTTCACTTTTCAGTGAAAAAGAGCTGATTTGTATTTTTTTCTCGTTAGTTTTCTTACTCCATCACTGCAAAGGTAAATGAGATAGTCAAATCCAAAAATTACAGAATTCACTGCACATAATTTAAAACCTATTAATCTTGAAGGAATGTATTTAAAATTTTGAGATCTTGTGAGCTGTTTTAGCTATCTGAATATGTTTTGAGGATACTTCTCAGCCACTCTCACAAAAAAAAGAGCTCAAAATCTAAAAACAAGAAAGTGAGACATTTTGTGTTTACTAAGATAGCTTGCTGTCTTGGGATTTTTCAAAAAAGAGTTACTGAGCTAAAGGGTACATGAAAACATAAGTTCTGACATAGCAAACATTTACCTCCCATTATTAATCAGCTGTTTTTGCTGGCTGTATGTTTCCAGATATTTCCGTAAGGACTGCATTTTTTTCTCTAAGTCGCCAGACAGCATATAACATCACCAATACTAGTTGATATAACAAAACAAGTACAACTTGCCTGATACTAACACGTCTGAAAACATCTCTCCATTGTTCCATGATGTGTGGTCCCTGCTGGTCTACTTTCTGTTTATTACAGTCATCAATGTTTAACAAAATTACACTTTGCCCGGTTGATTCACTCCAAACCAATAGATGGAAACACACCTAATTCATTTTTTTTCTTTTTTGCAACATTTTAAAAGTTAGCTCAAAATTCACATTGCAGTTGGATGGAAACATGGCTACAAATGAATGAAAAACATTATAGCCCTTTCACTTGATTTATCAAATTTGTTTGTTTTTACAAATGGGAATTGCTGCGTAGTGTTACAAGTGACTTCAAAAGAGTTGTAAATCTTTAAATAAACTTTGCAATTCCCTGTCTGTCTGATACATTTGTGAGATAATCATGCATCTTTGAGAAGACACTGGCCCCACTTGTGTGGTCCACGCCGTGCTTGTGGTTTATTTGGCAGCAAAAGGCAGAACACAACAAGTCATCTTTTAATTAGAGCTCTGTTTATGTTCAGCCAAATTACTTAGAAATGCTCTGCCAAGAAGCTTCATATCTTTCTCTCTGTCTGTCAGTGCTGATGTACCCATATACGTTGACCATTTTTTCTTTAAGACTCTTCATCCTTTTTTCACCAAAAAACTTTCACGATAGGGCCATGTTCTATTTATTTTAGGAGCCTGATCACTTATCTACTGTGGGTTTACATACAACTGCTGATAATGTAAATGTCACATCTTATTAGCAGCTGTAGACTTAAAATACCTGCATGCTGTCCCAGAGGCCTGAGATCCATTAAGCACTGATCAATGAAAATAAGATACTGTTGTTTTGATCTAATGGATTCCACTGGTTATCATGATGTGGGTGCAGGATGAAATTCCTAAACCGGTATAAGGGTGGAGGAATGTGTGGATATTAAAGCATCAATGACTCTGATGCCAACAACGAAATTCGAAAGTGTTGTTCTTTAAAAATACCATCAGTTTGACATTGTTGTTTTAAGGATTTGAATTGAAATTTTTCAGGATACATGCAAAAACTGATACCAGTCACCAATGTAATATTTCACCTGTCTTTAGTGTGGAAAACAAGTTACTTATATTGCAGTTTCTAAGTTGGCCTTTTCAATTCATTCTTTAAATTCCAATACAAAGGCAGTTGCTAAACACTGAAGAACATGATAAGTACAGAGAGAGAGGCAATCCTGGCTTCTCAGGTTACAGCATGAATGGCAGGACAAAGTACTAGCTGGTTGGGTGTTTGTGTGTGTATATTCATGTGTAATTGTCAGGTCTTTTGGGTGTTTGGACAGCATGGAGGCATTGTGTGAGGCAGGGTGTGAAAATGAGGTGTCCTGAAGATTGACTTGTCTACACTGACAGCACTCGGAAGATCTGTCACTCAGCAGGAACAAGTCATGGCTAAGGAACGCAGCTTCATGACAGAATGAACAATCTTTCCTTCTTCTGCTCCTACTCAAAAGCTACAGTCAAGTGGTGCCTAAATATCGACCATGTTGGCATGTTGCCAGCTAGAGTCATTCTGTATACAAAGAATGGATGAGTGCAAAATGTTACAACTTATTAAAGCATACAATAAAGGAAGAAGGAAAATCCACCCTCTTTTAGTTCTAAACAGATTCCATCCACCCATTTGTCTATTTTCTTCCACTTGTGGTCAGGTCGCAGAGACAACAGGTCCAGGAGAAAAACCCAGATATCCCTTTCTTCAACACTCTCCAGCTCCACCTATGGGGTCAATCCCAGTCCAGAGAGGATACATAATCCCTCCAGCAAGATTTGGGTCTGCCCCAGGATCATCTTTCAATGGGATATCCTTGTCAAAACTTTTCACAACAGATGCACAAAAGGCATTCTAATCTGATGCCTGATCACCTCAACTGACATTTTTCTTTGCAGAGGAGCAGTGACTGCACTTCCACTTCCCTGGATGATGAAGTGTGTCACCCTGTAAAACTGAGCTGCCCTGCAGAGGAAGTTCATTTCATCCTCTTGCATTTGGGATTGTATTATTTCAGTCATGATCAACATACTGTATATGCATAAAGCACAGCACTTTATTTGGCCAAAAAACAAACAGCATATCATCACAAACATACAAAATACACCGTCAGCTCAGTGGTGGAGGTAGTAGTTGTAGTAGTAGTAGTAGTTTTTATCACCTGAGAAAAATAGCACAGATGAAATCTATTCTTTCAAGGCAACAGTTTGAAACCGTGATCCACGCTTTTATTTTATCTCGACTGGATTACTGTAACTCACTCTACTTTGGAGTAAACCAGTCATCCCTCACACGTCTGCAGCTGGTGCAGAACACTGCTGCCCATCTTTTAACAGGAACACGCAGAAGAGAGCACATCACCCCCGTCCTGGCTTCTCTCCACTGACTGCTTGTGTGCTTTAGAGTTCATTTTAAAATCCTTGTTTGTTTTTAAGGCTTTAAACAACATCGCCCCATCTTATTTAACAGAGCTTCTTGACCGTTACGCTCCTCCTCGGTCACTCAGGTCTGCTGACCAGCTGCTCCTGGTCATCCCCAGTTCCAAACGGAAGCTCAGAGGAGATAGGGCCTTCTCTGTTAGTGTCCCTAAACTGTGGAACGCCTTGCCCTTGCATGTTCGACAGGCTCCTTCACTGTCCGTTTTTAAAACTCGTTAAAAAACTTATTTTTTTCTCACTGGCCTTTAACCCAACTGAGATTTGATTTTACTCAACTTTTGCTGTATTGGTACTGATTTTACTTATTTAACTGTGTGATTTTATTGTGCTTTTGTATTGAGCTTTTATTTTTGTGTTCAGCACTTTTTTTCAGCAGTGGCTGATGTTATAGCACTTTATAAATAAAGGTTGTTGTTGTTGTTGATGATGATGATGATGATGATGATGATGATGATGATGATGATGATAATGATCCCATGTACAGCAGCTCATGTACAACAGAATGACTGAAAAAAATAAAACTCAATATTTTTGCAATGGTTCAGCAGAAGTCCAGAAATCAACTTGTTACAAATGCTTTGGTGGAACCTCAAAACAGCTGTGTAAAACCAAATATCTGCAAACCTCACAAAACTAAATCTAAGTTTGGAAAAAGGGTGGGCAAAAAGTATTCTACAACCATGACTGATAAAGTCATACAGAAAACGTGTACTTCATTTTGCAAGGAAAGATTTAGAAATTTGCACACAGCATTACCATTTTGGCAACATTTAATAAATGTTGCCATTTGTTGAATGTGTTTGCACATTTTAGTTTACATTTAAATAATACAAGAAGAAATCATTTCTTGGTTTGTCCTGTTATGGAAAACCCTATAAAATTGAAAGAGGGTGGCTTTTTTATTTCCCCCATGTCACTTATTGTGTTTTCTGACAGCATGAACATCAAAGTATGGTTTACCGTTTGGAGGCAGGTAGGTGAAGCGTTGATATTGGCTTCTCTTCCTCTTGCCATTGCAGACGTAAAAGTTGACCTGCACGGAGCTGGATATTCTCTGATTTCTGTAGGGTGGGATCTCCACAACAAGAGTACTCTAAAGTATAAAAACACAAGAGGATATTTCAGTTGTATGTGACAAAACACCTGCTGAATACAAACAGGAACTAATATTTCAGTTCATGTTTCATTTGTTCTGCAACTCTTCAACATGTAAGGTTTTAATTATTTTTGCATCATTCAGCACAAGGGTTTTGTTTCTTGTGCAAGGTGTCCAAAATAAAGTTTTACATTGGTTGTATGAAATGACTTTACAGTGTAATACACTCCAAGTCCAGGAGGTTTAGAAGTTAATCAACAGCTATGTTTATTTTGCAGCTGGCCGGCATTGAGGATACTGTTTCCAAGTGACTGGACTGGGAGCTGGTCTAAATGAACATGTCTGGATTGTGTAGAAGTAGTAGTAGGGCCCATGAGGCTGGTCCACTGCCCGTGTTTGTCTCTGACAAAAACCCTGGGGCTTTTGCTTTTTCATTTTTTTCCCTTTACAGTACAGGAGAAGACAGGCTGGCTTATTTGTTTGCACAGCCACGCTCCTCTGTAAGAGGGGTCGTGTTCCCCACCCTTCCCCCGCCAGACCACGACATGTCTGGACGGATGTGAACTCCTGATGGCTTTAACTCTGACAGAGGAAATGTGGAGAAATTTGTTAGGGTGATGGTGTCTAATTCCTGGGTTGGCTGTTACTCTTATGTGGGTCTGTACAGGCCAGAGTGGGGAACTTTTGACAGGAAGCAGGTTTTTCTCGGTCGCTGCTGTGCATGTAGGAAGACTGGAGGGGAGGGAGGTGAAGGTGAGCTCAGCCCCATTCTGCCTTCCAGATGATGACAAGGAAAACATGCAGGTGGCTGAGTGAGTGTGGTAAATGCATGCAGCCTTTCTCCTCAATCCCAAACAACCAACGTTAGCACTCTCCAGATGGCAATAAAAACACAGTCAGGCAGGCAGAATGGAGCACTTTAAAGCAGTCTGGTTGGACATGACATAAGAAGAAGGCCAGTGCTCCTTACTGTCTGTTGCTGACAACAATTAAGAACACTGTGGTACTTGTGCTTAATCTCATGTGATTACAGGTTCTTGCTAAATGTGTTTGTACTCCGAATATGTGCTGAGGATGACTTTCACCAACAACTAAATTATGGACATTTATGTGTTGGCTGAGGTCATTTTGTTGCGGCAGCCATCTTGATTAGATCTATGTAATGTTTTGTAGATGTACATCCAATGATTAGTTTCTGGGCGTTTTATTAAAATCTGCACAATAGTTTAAAGAAGAGCAACAGCCAGTGCAAAAGTTTCAGGCAAAGCATTGTATTTCAATAATTCTACAATTTGCTGTGTTAAAGTCATATTGGTGCAAATTTTGTTTCTAAGTTCAAAAAAGCGGACGATAAAACCGCAACAGCCTTTTAAAAAAATATATATATATGTGTGTGTGTGTGTGTGTGTGTGTGTGTGTGTGTGTGTGTGTGTGTG